CACACACACACTGATGCTGGAACATCTGCACTCAGTCTTGCAGCATTTGTGGAAGGAGCCACACCTTAAAGCCACCCGCCGCCACTCACACTCTCTCACACACACACACACACACACACACACACACACACACACACACTCGCGAGTCACGCCTGAAAATCTTTAGGTCGCGATTAATATTCACCTGCACTGACGCACACTCATGAATATTCACACGCATTAAAGCGCGCCCACGCCAGATCAGCACCTGAATCCGCGCGTGTGTGTGTGTGTGTGTATGTGTGGGGGTGAATGAGTGTGTGTGAGACTCGACCACACCCTTCATCTTCCTCATGTCTGTCGCGCTTCAGACGCGCCGCTCCTCGCGTTCAGCTCGCGTCGCGCTCGGCGAGGCGGAAGAACAAAAGAGCGGCGGATTCACCTGCGCTTCAGCCCCGCTGAGACGACCAGAACACACACCCGAAACACACACACACACTCCAAACACACACACCGAGGATTCCTGAAAAGCAGAGCCGATGCTGGAGCGCCTCCCGGGCGTTAAACCGCACAGCCGCCTGCTAATGAAGCGGAGCAATCCACCTGAGAGCCTCATCACTCACACTCTCTCACACACACACACACACACACACACACACACACACACACACACACACACACACACACACACACACACACACACGCACACGCACACATCTCCGGAGAAATCATCATCATTCCTCTGAGACATTAATATCTGAGTGTTGAGCTCCTGAGAGCATCCTCACACACACACACACACACACACACAAACCCACACCACACCCTGAACTCATCACACTCGCGCGCGCGCACACACACACACTCCAGCGCCACTACTACACTCCTCTAACAGTCCTAAACACACCTGACTGACAGGTGTCTGATCTCCTGCAGTCTGACAGGAGCACATGTCATCCTCAAGGTGTGTCAGACTGTTAAACACAGCGGAAACCTTCATCATAATCATCCTCCTCTTCACTACAGTGTGTGTGTGTGTGTGTGTGTGTGTGTGTGTGTGTGTGTGTGTGTGTGTGTGTGTGTAATGCTGATATTTACCGGTTTAGTTCTTCTGATGCAGCACAGCATAGTCGTATCCTTTCAGCGTCTCGCGCAGTTTCTTCTAGTCCTCTTCTTCTTCTTCTTCTTCTTCTCTCTCCCTCTGTTCTCTCTCTCTCTCTCTCTCTCTC